AAGCCAGAGGGCCCTGAATTCAGAAAAGGCTGAGCGAGAAAAACAAGACAGGCGCACGCTGCCAATGCTGAGAGCGGGAGCGCGCACGCACCCTTCGTTTTCTGGCTGAGGGGAGGGGCTGCGGACGGAGGGAGGCTGGCAAGGCGGAAGTGCTGCGCTGGCACCGCGGAGGTCTCCAGGTGAGGCAGAACAGCCGCCGTGCTGGTAGGGTCCAGCTTGGGTGGAGAAGGAAGCGCCCCATGACGCTTGGGTGACACTCCAGGAGGGCGCCCTGTTTTGTTAACTGGCTTCGGGAATGCCTTTTAGAAACCAGGACCACTTGCATCCCTAGCAGGCTAGCATAGTTTGGCTAAATAAACCCCGTTTGTGGAGATTAGCTGCAATAGCAGCAGCGTTTTCAAGCGAATAGCTCGTGGGTATGAAGATTGCACCAGGTGGATATTTGTTTGTTTGTATTACTTAATTTTGGAAAACCTATTTCTATTGTGACCCCTTGTGCCTCTGACTGTCCCTCTCCCACTCAAGCCTGTATAGAAGCTGTACTCAGTGTCCTGTAAGTTTCTGCTAAGAGATAGGGAAAACGTTAAGCTCCACTCTCAAACATTGCTTAATTCAAACTTCCATTATTTCTAGCCACCGTGAAGAATGTTCACTGAACGTGGTGGGAATTGTAGCCCAAGGCAGTTGTGCTGGTTGTAGAAGGCTGTTTTGTATTGTGAGGATGAACCATATTCATGCAATGTGTGATGCCTCAGACAAGCTGCACTGTGGTTTGCTTGTTTGAGGCATCACATGTTGCATGAATCCAACCAAGGTTAAAGCTTAGTACTATGTAAACCAGCTAGTTGTGGCTTTTTCATTAAACTGTGATTAGGAAAGCCATATTTTACAGTGAAGTGTGAGCTCTGACATATTTTCATGTGTGGTATAAAAGTAAAGGGCTCCAAAAAGCCTTCCAAGAAGTTGTGAAAGAAATAGAGCTCAGACAAGAGCCTCATTTTGTGTCTCCCAAAATCCTGATGGTAAGAAACACAAATAATAATGCAGTCTGAGTGTTCAGATATGCTTAGTATAGGTTAAAAGGAAAAAAAAAACCTGTTGCCAAACCCAAGAAAAAAATAGAAAATCCGAATATTGTCCATATACTGTATGTGTTTTGTACAACCCTGCCAAGTGTGACCCCGTGCTCTCCCTACCCCATGACTAAATTGTTCCCCACTCTTGGTTAATGCTTGAAAATATTGAATAACAGCTGCTTTTTAAAAACATTTTTTTTAAAGATAATCTGTATTATTTTATAATAATAAAATTTGTGGGCAATTTTCTACACAAATATTAGTGAAATTCAGCAATAGGAACCTTAGTGCTTGAAAATATTGAATAACAGCTGCTTTTTAAAAACATTTTTTTTAAAGATAATCTGTATTATTTTATAATAATAAAATTTGTGGGCAATTTTCTACACAAATATTAGTGAAATTCAGCAATAGGAACCTTAGGTTTCCTTTTTATTATTTCCAACCCAACAGAATGTTGGACAAATTATATAAAGGTGCTGGGTATTTTGCCCATTAGCAGAAACAAAAGGAAAGTGGACTAGATTTGGTGTGAGACAGAAACCAGCAAAAGAAAGATTGCATAATAATACAGAAGTAGAGAAAAAAATCCTGTACAGTAATGAATCCTTAAGGAGAACTGGGCAATAGTTTGCTGACTATCCCATTCTACCCTCCACCCTCCCCTTCCTTCCTGTCTCTTCCCAGTCCTGTCAACTAGAACAGAGCTGTTTTAAGGGTTTGAAATGAATCCCAGAAGCTGTGCTCTGCGCACTTTGCTGCATTGTTAGTCTTTCCAACCCAATAGAATTATTGTTAAGTCGTGTCCGACTCTTCGTGACCCCATGAAT